TCTCTGAGGAAAAGAGCCAGGGGGAGCTGGGTACCTAGCTTGTCCCTGTTCCTAGATGATACCACCTTGCCTTTGCCGAAGCCCTCCCTAGCAAAGTTGAGGAGGGTTCGCTTTGCAACCTGTTCAACTAAGAGGTGCAGTGGCTCGAGTTCCAGCATTACCTCTAGCGCTGCCGTCGGGCATGTGCGCATTGCTCCCGTAATGCACACACATGCCAAACGTTGAAGCTTAGAGAGGGTCTGCCTCACCGTTACTAAAGTAGTCCTGGAATGCCAAGCCACCGCACCGTACGTTACTATAGATATCGCTATCATGGTGTACAACCATCTGAGGATCCTCGGAGTGCACCCCCAGGATTTTCCCGCCAGACGTTTGCACACCATAATCGCCCTGGTGGCCTTGGAGGTGACCGCATCAACATGGGTCTTCCACAGAAGCTTGGACTCCAGGGTAAGCCCCAGATACTTAACCTCTGTGGCGACATTGATTGCGACCCCGTCCAGGGTCAGGTTCCTCATCCCCTGAAGATTTCTTTTCTTGGTGAAGGGGACTATAGCTGTCTTGGAGGGATTGATATTTAAGCCTACATCTGCGCACCACCTTTTTGCAAGGTTAAGACCTGTTTGGACGATATCACAGAGAGTACTAGCGAACTTCCCTCTAGCAATAATCACTATGTCGTCCGCATACCCTTGGCATCGAACGCCCTCGTTAGTGAGTAGCTGTAGGAGTTCGTCCACAACTAAGCTGTATGTAGGGTAGGTGCATCAATCGTCGGACAGTTTAGGTGATTTTTTAATTTTCTTAAGCGACCATTTTAAGCCTACTGATAATAACAAATAGAAGTGAATTGATTAAAGCGCTTCTGTTAGTTACAACTTGTGATCAAAAAGAATTTTTTTGATGAATATTTCCGTCTTGTTGTTTTAAAAAAAAAATAAAAAAAGTGCTGTTGTACTATTAGTCGGACAAGATTTTTCAATTATCGGACGCAGCGTACTCTAATTGTCGGACATAGGCAAAACTGCATGAAATTAATTTTTTACAAATTTATTTTAATTTTTTAAGCGACCAAAAACTTAAAAATTAGTTCTACTTCTAACTAATATATACAATAAAATAATGAATCAAATTACATATAAGAAATTACTAATTACAATTGTCGTAAATAAGCAAAACTGCACGGAAATATTGAGCCCTAACCGCCAAAATAACGTAAGCGACATTTTTTCAAAATTTTCTTTTTGATGCAGAAATATTCCTAGAGCTTCTGGATACAATTCTGCATCAAAAAGAGAATTTTGAAAAAAATGTCGCTTACGTTATTTTGGCGGTTAAGGCTCGATATGTTTTTCATATCACCTTCGTTATTAATTTGTTTAACGACCTTGAAGTTAAAAATAATTTCTACTTATAACTGATATATGTATGTATGTATGTATGTACATACATAGTAGAGTGAAATAAGGGCACATATCGAATCCAATATTTTTGAAATTATATTCAGCATCGCTGATAAGTTCCTTATACTTATATATACTTTATATTTGCTTATATACAATTATATTGATATTGATTATTTTGCAATCTTAGTCTTTTTCGGATTTTTTTATCTATGTTTGCTAACCGTTTTTCCTTTCTTCTTCTTCTTTTTGCCTATCTTTTTCATTATAGACGAAGAGCTCATGACCAAAAAACTCATCATACTTCAGATCGATTGAAATTTTTTGTGAGCTTAGCTTGTTAATATATAAATCAATATCTGGAGGGCTGGCTGCTGAACAGCGGTCTTGACTATGCGTTTTTAGCGATTAAAGATGTGTATGAAAACCGATTACTCAACATACTTCAGACGACTTGAAATTTAGATAGAATTTTATTTACAGTGTATATAAAATGAATTCAACGTTACCTGCCAATTCTGATGTTCTTAGAGTACTGCCAGCCCATGTTGAAAGTCCATTGTTGCACCCATAAGTCAACATACTTCAGATGACTTGAAATTTTGATACAATTTTATTTACAGTGCATATAAAATGAATTCAACGTTGCCTGCCAATTCTGATGGTCTTAAAGTACTGCCAGCCCATGATGAAAGTGCATTGTTGCACCTATAAGTCATCATACTCCAGATGACTTGAAATTTTGATAGAATTTTATTTACAGTGCATATAAAATGAATTCAAGTTTGCCTGCCAATTCTGGATGGTCTTAAAGTACTACCAGCCCATGTTGAAATTGCATTGTTGCAACTGTAAAGCAAAATACTTCAGATGGGCTGTCCTTATCACAGGACATTATTAATATTATAAATAGATGAAATGTCTACAGCCAGCCCCTTTTGATGGTCTTAAAGTACTGCCAGCCCATGTTGAAAGTGCATTGTTGCAACTATAAGTCAACATAATGCAGATGGGCTGTCAAACAGAGCTCTCAAACACAGGGTCCGGTTTCGGATTTCGCAAAGAGCCTTCTCTAATTTTTCCTTATGAGGAATGCTTACAGATCTTTTACTCATCTGTTGAAAATCAAAACCAAACTTTCTAACTTTAATCCCTTATAAATTTCTGAATAATATTTAATACATTAGAAAAAACCGCGATGTGTCCGATTATTAAATTACGCGGTGGTTGTATTGCTCTAATACTCGGACGGCTTGTCCGATTATTGAAAGCGCTAAAAAAACATGACATTAATGTTCGGACAAGTTTTATTAAGTATTAGCTTTACCCTGCCACGCTTTGCTGTCGCATATTCCTCTTACATAGATAATAAATGCTTAACGAAACAAAGTATACGACCCATATAAGTTTGATTTTGTAATATATAAATACTTGCGTGCACACAATATTATGAATGCACAATGAATTATGAATGAAAATTTTCGTTTAACAGCATCGCGGGATTAAAAAACGATTTAATCTTTCCATGTCAAAATAATCTAAGACGGTACGGCTTTGAAAAAAAAACAGATTTAAATATCCGAGTTACTAATAGATGAATACATGTATGTATATCCCCCTTTTACAAACTCATTTATATATACTTTATTCTGAACACCTCCCATATATACCTACTTCTGAATACCAAATTTCAAGTTCATGTGACATATGCTTCCCAATTTATGGCTGATTAAAAATTCCACGCCTACGGGATGTGCCACGCCCCCTTTTATAAACTCATTCATATACACCTTATTATAAGCACCTACCATAGATATGTCTGCATACCAAATTTAAATTTCATGTGACTTATGGTTTTGAATTTATAGCTGATAAAATTTTCCATGCTTATGGGATTTGCCACGCCATCATCTACAAACTCACTTATGTTTATCTTTTTATAAGCACCTACCATAGCTATACCTGTATACCAAATTTCAAGTTCGTGCGACTTATGGTTCCGAAGTTATAGCTGATAAAAATTCCACGCCTATAGGATGTGCCACGACCCCTTCTACAAACTCATTTACATATACCCTCCTATAAGCACCTACCATTGATATGTCTGCATACCAAATTTCAAGTTCGTGTTATTTATGGTTCCGAAGTTATAGGTGATAAAATATTCCACGCCTATGGGATGTGCCACGCCCCCTTTTACAAACTCGTTTATATATACCCTCCTATAAGCACCTACCATTGGTATGTCTGCATACCAAATTTCGAGTTCGTGTGACTTATGGTTCCGAAGTTATAGCTGATAAAAAATTCCACGCCTATGGGATGTGCCACGCCCCGTTTTACAACTTGTTTATATATACCCTTCTATAAGCACCTGCCATTGATATGTCTGCATACCAAATTTCAAGTTCGTCCCGAAGTTATAGCTGATAAAAAATTCCACGCCTATGGAATTTGCCACGCGCCCTTTTGCAAACTCGTTTATACATATATACCTGCCTGCATCTACCATTGACATGGCTGCATACCAAGTTTCAAGTGCATGTGACTTATCGTCTGGAAGTTACGGTTGATTAAAAATATCACGCATATGGGAGGTGCCACGCCCCCTTGTCGGACCGCAATTTTTTTCACCCTATTATAGGCCCAGGTGTCATGGTAGTTCGTGCACTGGTTTCAGTTGTGTTTTGATCTCTGTAGTGAGCGAAACGAAGCAACACAAATCAAATTCTAGTTCCGTACTAGATATTTATCGTCAAAAACGAACCAATTCGATAGAAACTAGTTCCCCACCAGAGCGAAATGTTGTAGGTACTTTCAAAAAACTCATTTATTTCACTTTTTTCATTAGAAATCTATATCTAAGGTGACGAATTTAGAGCTGGTTCGGAACTATAGAAAACGGGATGCAGCGCTTTCATTCTACACTTCACATATGGTTTTTCATAGCTTGGTAATACAAAACAAAAGTTTGTGTTAACATTTTAAAACCTTGGGACTTTCTGGAATCTAACCAATAACAGCAAGCACCTCTGCTGACTCAGCTACAGGTATGTAACCGTACATTTCTTATAATCATTCAAACAAATTCAATTTCAAATTGAAAACAAATTTATTTAAAAATAATTTAAAATTATATTCAACAATTTTATTGAGCTTGAGGCC